GATATCTAGGACAATGGAACTAACCCACTAGAAGGAAGGTTGTGGACATTATGACACTTCACCCCTAAATGCTCCTGCAGGCACCTCCTAAGAACAAGAATCTTCTCTTATACAACCGCATTCCCGTCTTCACACCTAAAAGCGGTAATAATCATTCCATAGCATACACAAATTTCTCCAGTAGCCTCTTTCTTCTTCAAATCTAGGATCCAATTTAAGTTTGAACATTGAATTTAGATGTTATATCTCTTAGTCTCTTGTCTAGAACAATCTCCCACTGTAGTGGGTTGAATGGAGCCCCCCCCCAAAAGATATGTCCATATCCCAGAACCAGTGAATATAACCTTATTTGGAAAAAGGGTCTTTGCAAGATGTAGTTAAGGACCCTGAGATCGTCCTGGGTTACCTGGGTCCCCAAATCCAGTGACAAGTGTCTTTATAGGAAGGAAAGAGAAGACATAGACACAGAAGAGGAGAAGGCCATGTGAAGGCAGAGGCAGAGATTAGAACAATACAGCTGCAGCCAAGGGTCTCCGGGAGCCACCAGAAGCTGGAAGAGGCAAGGAAGGATTCTCCCCTAGAGGCTTCGGGAATATGCCTTACCAACATCTTGGTGTTGGACTTCCAGTCTCCAGAACTGTGAAAGAATAAATTTCTGTTGTTTTAAGCCACCACGTTTGTGGTAATTTCTTATGACATCCCTAGAAAACTAATACACTCACTTTTTAAAAAATGGCTTTGACTTCTTAGAGCCTAGGAATCATCTGACAGAATGTCCCAAATCTGAAATTGTCTTCACATTGAACTTTTAAAGTCATAAACCTGATCAAGTCATTCCTCTGCTTAAAACTCTCCAGTGGGGGCTTCCTTAGTGGCGCAGTGGTTAAGAATCCGCCTGCCAATGCAGGGGACACGGGTTCGAGCCCTGGTCCGGGAAGATCCCACATGCCGCAGAGCAACCAAGCCCATGCGCCACAACTACTGAGCCTGTGCTTTAGAGCCCGTGAGCCACAACTACTGAGGCCTGCATGCCTAGAGCCCGTGCTCTGCAACAAGAGAAGCCACTGCAATGAGAAGCCTGTGCATTGCAACGAACAGTAGTCCCCACTCACCGCAACTAGAGAAAGTCCATGCACAGAAATGATCTCAACACAGCCAAAAATAAATAAAATAAATTTATTAAAAATAAATAAATAAAAATAAAACCCTTCAGTGGCTTTTCATTGCATTTATAATCAGCTATAGGGACTTCCTTGGTGGTCCATGCTCCCAGTGCAGGGGGTCTGGGTTCGATCCCTGGTCGGGCAACTAGATCCTGCACGCGTGCCGCAACTAAGAGTCCACATGCCACAACGAAGATCCCGAGTACCACAGCTAAGACCCGGTACAGCCGAGACAAATAAATAAATAAATAAATAAATAAATAAATAAATATTAAAAATAAAGAAATAAATCTATTTTAAAAATAAATTAAAAAAATAAGCTATAAACACTTTCCTCTGATTTAGAAAGCCTGTGGTCTGACTCCTCCCCACTCCTCTCATGTCACCTTCCCTTCTCTCCTCCCACCCATCTCACTCCAGCCTCACCTTTCTACAGTCCCGCAAACATTCCAAGCTCATCCCAGACTTATCCCTGCCCAGGTGACAACCAAATACAATTCTTTATCTTTGAGTACTGGATCAGGGGAAAACAGCTATGAAGGACATTATTGGGATCATTGTAGGGGTAGGGAAAATGAATATAAACTATATATTAGATAATACTGTTGTATCAATGTTAAGTTTCTTGGGGGGTTAATAGTACTGTGGTTGTATAGGAAAATGTCCTTATTCTTAGGAGATGCATGCTGAAGTACTTAGGGGTGAGACATAATGTCTGGAAATTACTTTCAAAGGAACTGTGGCAAAATATTAACAACTGGTAATTATTATACCCTGGGAAAAGATATATTGGTGTTGATAGCAATATTCTCTTTTTTAAAAATAAATTTATTATTTATTTTCGGCTGCGTTGGGTCTTCGTTGCTGTGCGCGGGCTTTCTCTAGTTGCAACGAGTGGCGGCCCCTCTTCGTTGCGGTGCGTGGGCTTCTCATTGCAGTGGCTTCTCTTGTTGTGGAGCACGGGCTCTAGGCGCACCGGCTTCAGTAGTTGCGTCACTGAGGCTCAGGAGTTGTGGCACACGGGCTTTGTTGTTCCGTGGCATGTGGGATCTTCCCAGACCAGGGCTCGAACCCGTGTCCCTTACATTGGCAGGCGGATTCTTAGCCACTGTGCCACCGGGGAAGTCCCAATATTCTCTTGACTTTTCTCTGGGTTTGAAAATCAAAATAAAATGGCAGGGGGGAGGGGGAAATGGACAATTTAAAGAAAAAATGTTAATCCAGGTATGCTCGGATTTTTTTTTTAAGATTTTTTTTTGATGTGGACCATTTTTAAAGTCTTTATTGAATTTGTTACAATATTGCTTCTGTTTTATGTTTTGGTTTTTTGGCAGCGAGGCATGTGGGATCTTAGCTCCCTGACCAGGGATCAAACGAGTACCCCCCTGCATCAGAAGGCAAAGTCTTAACCACCGCCAGGGACGTCCCTGCTCAAATTTTCATGTGCATTAAAAATCACCTAGGAAGTTTGTTAAAATGCAGAATTCTAGGGATTCAGAAGATCTAGGTGGAGCACTGAAATCTGCTTTTTAATGGGCCCCCAGGTGATTCTGAGTCGGGTCTCTAGGCCACACCATGAGGAGGAAGGTTCACTTAGCATCCTGTGGCCATAAGCTGCTCTCCTGTTCTCCAGTTGACCGGTAGCTGGTTGGAAGGGTCAGGCAGGCAGATGGATGGAGATGCAATTTTACAGTGAGGGCAGGACAGGAGATTGTGGACAGAGTAGAGGATAAGGGGGGAGTTGAGGACAGACTTTGCCTCCTTCCCTGGCTTTGGGCTTCTGGGGGTGCAGAGGAGGTTCCTAGAGCCCAGGGGAAGAATGAGATCAGGGCTCAGAGGTCCTAATACCAGTGCTGCTATTCTATTTTATTCACTCTTGGATAATTCTCCCCTTTATTTAATTAATTAATTTATTTTAAAGAATAGGGAAGTGCTTCTTTTTTTAAAACTATTTATTTATTTGGCTGTGTCGGGTCTTCGTTCCAGCATCCAGGATCTTTAGTTGCGGCATGCGGACTCTTAGTTGTGGCATGCGGGATCTATTTCCCTGACCAGGGGTCGAACCTGGGCTCCCTGCATCAGGAGCGTGGAGTCTTAACCACTGGACCACCAGGGAAGTCCCCTCATCTTTAAAAAGGAGGTCATAATAAATAGTTTTGGAGCATCCCCCAAATTCCAATGTTCCTGAGCCTTGAGTGTTAAAACTCAATAAACGTGGATGGATTCCGACTGCAGACATGTCATTCTAGCATCTGGCCAGAAGGTGGCAGCAACACACCTCTCTATTTTCCTGACTCGACAACCACGGGAAAAATTTTTTTCAGGTGCCTCTGGGTTCCCTTCAGTTTAACCAACAGCTGTTTGACGCAGGTCCTGTGCTAGACACCACAGACACAAAAGTGAATAAGATCTGATGGCTGCCCTCAAATATCATATTGTCAGGGAGCAGGAGAGTCAGACATATAAACAGATTACTAGTTTACTAGCTGTGTGACGTTGGGCAAGTTGCCTAACCTCTCCGTGCCTCAGTTTCTCCAACTGTAAAATGGGAATAGTAGTAGTACCTATGTCATAGGGTTATTGTGAGGATTAAAAATGATAACACGTGTAAAATGCTTAGCATAGTGCTTGGCACATAGGAAATGTTAGCTATTGCTATATTATACAGTGAGAGAACTGATGAGATGGAGAAGATACCCAGGGTGCTCCCTAACAGGGAGGAGTGACGCCCCCAAATGGAGATAATGGGGAAAGGATTCCACGCCGGTGGAGCCAGTCTGTCAATAGGGACCCTGCAACCAGACCAGCCTGGGAGAGCCCACCTCGAATGGAGCTGGACTCCTTCTGGCTGGGGCTCATCTGGGCTCCTGCAGGCCCAGAACACAGAACACCAGCAGGCCCTGACCAACCAGGACGTGTCTTCCTGGAGAGGAAGCCGTAATTTGTTCACTGTGCAACCTCAGACAGGCAACCTTGTCCCTCTGAGCCTCAGTTCCTACCCAAGTGATGGGAAAGGGGATCACAGGACCCGAAGGACGGTGCCAAGTTCCACATCTGAGACACTGTGGAGAGTTAGCTGTAAAGTCAGCCAGTTCAGGGGCAGCAGGGACCTGGAGCTAGGGATGCAAAGAGGAAGCAACAGGAAGGCAAAGAGATCTTGGGGAGGACATTGGAATTTCCCCAGGATGTGGAGTGGAGGTTGAGCCAATCCTAGACCTCAAGGGGCAGGGAGATGCCAGCTAACCCTTAGGTACAAGTAATTAGGGTTATGTCATTGATTCTGTGTGTCTGTTTCCTCTCTGTCACATGGGAGGGGAAGAAGGCAATCAACAGTGTTGAGCACCTACTGTGAGCCTCACAACATGCTAATCGCTTTATGCATAATACCTCATTTAGATCTCATGACACCTCTGGAAGGAAGGTATCATCATTCCTATTTTACAGATGAAGAAACTGAAGCTCAGAGAGGATATGTAACTTGCCCAGGGTCACACAGCTAGTAAGTGCCCAGTCTGATGGCCTGATCTCTTCTCCCATGACCTTTCCCAGCATTCCACCTTAGCCGCTCACTCCTTAGAAACACCTGGGAATCTTTTTTTTTAAAATTTATTATTTTTGGCTGTGTTGGGTCTTCGTTGCTGCACATGGGCTTTCTCTAGTGGCGGCGAGCGGGGGCTACTCTTCGTTGCCGTGCGCAGGCTTCTCATTGCAGTGGCTTCTCTTGTTGCGGAGCACGGGCTCTAGAGCGCAGGCTCAGTAGTTGTGGAGCACGGGCTTAGTTGCTCCAGGGCATGTGGGACCTTCCTGGACCAGGGCTCGAACACGCGTCCCCTGCATTGGCAGGCGGATTCTTAACCACTGCACCACCAGGGAAGCCCCACCCTGGGAATCTTATCCATAAATACCCCAGCTCCAGAATCACAAATTCATGCACCCTGCTCTCCGAAAACAACTTCCTACCCTCTCAGTGCCTCTTTCAGTTCCTTGTACTGTGACTGGTCTTTGGCCTTGCCTGGAAGTCCAGCTACGGACCTCTTTACTCTGCCAATACCCCACCCTCTCTTGTCTACACACCCCTCCTCATCCAGCTTTGAGTCCATGGCCTGTCATTTAGCAGCTCTCTTGCCAGTAACCTAAACTTCATTGCTTACCTGCCTTGCAAACCTCTGAATACAGTGGTTATTTCTCTTTGAGCTTTCGCCAGGGCAGCCAAGGACAGCAGAAGGAGGAGGAGTAATAATAACGCTGGCTAATACTTACATGGCATGTGTTATGTGCCAAGCACTAAGTGCTTCACATACTGGAACTCAATTCCTCCTCCAGCACTATGGGCTAGGTACTATTATTATCATCCCCACTGATGGGCAAAGAACATGGAGAGAATAGAGGTTAAATCACTCAACCAGACTCAAAGCATACAGCTAATTAAGTTGAGGAGCCATGATCAAACCCATGCAGTCTGTCCAGAGTCCGTGTTTTGATCAGTATACTATTTGCCCAGTGCACTGAGGCCACCCTTCCCTCCTTCCATCAGCCAGGAAGTACTGGGTTCCTGCCACCCCGGTCCAGCACTGCTCTTAGTGGGGACAGTCCAAAGGAAGTCCAGATCCTTCTTCACTGTACTTGGGGGCTGACAATTTGTAATAGTAGTAATAGTAGTAGTAATAAATTACGTTTTCAGCTTTTATTACGTGTGTCCTAAGTATTTTACATGTATTTATTTAACCCTCTCAACAACACTATGAGGTGGAAACTACAATTTTCCCCCTTTTGCTGGAGCACATGAGAGGACATAGTAATGAGACTACATTTGTACAACAGAGTGTTGGAATCAGATGGGAAGCTTGGTAGCTGGATGCCAGAGCCCTGGCTCTTAACCGGGACCCTTTCCTACTTTTCTTCCGGCCACAAGACCTCCCAGGCCCAGCTCTTTCTGAGGACGGGGGAGGAGTCTTCTCTGCATTGCCAGCAGGCCTGGTTCCCAAACCCAGGCCAGACCCTGGCCTTACAACTCCCAGAGCCCTACCGAGGTGGTCCTGGTTCCCTCTACTCTGAGGCTTCTGGGTGGTGAGCTGGGAGCTTAAGCAGGGGAGAGGATGGGAACCCCACTGGTAATTCCCCAGGGCCAGCCCAAGAGGCCTCTACTCTGAAAGGCCCAGGTCTGCCAGCAGTTCCCTGTAAAAATAAAGCCTGAGCTCGTCCTCCCCAGGCCTTACCTGTCCCTTTGCGTGAAGTACCAGCTCAGACTCCCAGTTTGTACCCGGAGGACAGCAGGCAGGGCAGGGCAGGGCCTAGGCTGGAGTGGATGGGGCTTCAGTGGCAGCTGGGGCTCAGAGCCCAGGGCTGCAGCAGAAAGCACTTAGCTTCCCCACTCCCCTCCTCACACCTATCAAGCCCCTTCCCCCTAACCCAGGCAGGACCCTACCCCTCCCCACTTCCAAGAGTTAGTGGCAACCCGGCCTGGTTTATCCATCCCACCCCTCTCTCCCATCCTCCCTCTTCCCATTCCCCTGGCAACCAAACCAGATTCATCAAGGAGAAGGACCTGGCAGCTGTTCAGGGAGAGACTAATAGCCCAGAAGGAAGGAGGGGCCTGGAGAGGAGACGAAGGCAAAGGCGGTAGGGATGTGAGCCTAAGGGCGTTGGCCCATCTCAGAGGACACACAAAGGCGGGGAGGCCCCTCTGCCCTGCAGTGCTGAGGGGATGGCCAGCCAGGGAGCCGCCCTCCTCATCCCCTCAGCCAGAGGTGCAGCCCGGAGTCCCAGACCTGTTTCCCCAGAAGCCCAGCTCTTGTCCTCAGGGCCGATCCTACGCAGACCTGTCCTTACTGGAGAGCCCCGGAGTCCCCAGCAGCAGCAGCCCCTTAGCTCCTGGCAAGCCCAACAGGCCTCAGCACCTCGACTCCTGCAGACCATCCAAGCTGCCTCTGTCCACTCCTGGGCAGCCCGTGCCTGCGTTCTGGAAGCCGTTTGACATGCAAAGGCCAGACATCAGCCTCCCTGCTAACTCTGGGGTGGGGGAGGGTATGAAGGGCCCTGTGGTTGGGTGTGTCTAATGTGTGTGCACATAGGTGCACGGTGCTATTACGCATATGCATCTGTGGCTCTGTTCTGGGCCTTTTTCTCCTCTTTCAGTCCCTGAGCCTACGGGGATGGGCACTTTCTCTTTCCCCTTCTCTCCCAATCCAGCCCTCCTCTCGCTGGGTACCTGCAGCTCCTCAGCACTGGAAACCGGCTCCTGCCCGTGTGTCTATCTCTCAGCCTTGGCAGCAGCTGCTACCCTTCAGCCCCCTCCCCTTCCTACTTCAGGAATCGCCCCGGTTCCTGTAAGGCCCTGACTGAGCAGCGGTGGGTTGGGGGAAGGGAGTATCCAGTAAAGCCAGACAGCACACGCTAGCTCACTCAGTTCAGCCTCCGGCATGGCACAGACCCTCCCAAGTGGGACCCAGAGCTGGGCCTAGTCACCCTGAGCCCCCTCTGATGTGCCCACCTTGCTGGGGCCTGGGGTAGATTTTGGGATCTGTGTCTTTAAGGCTGAGACATCAGCAGGCAACCGCCTGGCCAAGTGTCCAGGGGAGGGGCAGGGGAAGAAGCAAGTCCATTAGCAGCAGAGCTGGCGCCAGGCAGCAACCCTTCACAGAGCCCTGGGGATTTCAGGGACAGCAGCCCTTCCTCACCCACCTCAGCTGCCTCTGCACTCCCGTCCCCCAGATCTCCCTGGGTGTGGTGACAGAGGGGGCAGCTGACAGCATTTGAAAGCAGAGCCTAGCCTTCAGGGGCCATGTGGAGGTACAGCCTCTGGGGCCTAAGCCAGGCCAATTCTCCCTGCACCTGGGCTGCGTCCTCCCTGCACCTGGGCTGCGTCCTCCCTGCCCACGTACCAGAAGCCTGCCCTTTAACATACAGTCCACCTAGCCCCCAGTTTTTACCAGCTCTTTCAGGCAGGGACCCCAGTTCCAGTGAGGCCCTCCCACCCTAGGCTCCAGCTCCGGATATTTGCTGGAAGGCACTGACCCCCCCAACACCCGAACCCCCCCCTCCCGCCTCCCTGGGGCCTGTGGTGGCCATCCCTGTCTCCTTCCCCACCACGAACTGGGGGAATCAAGTAGGCAGGGCGCCGGCAACCAGGGAGGGAGGGTGCGGCGCTCCTGCAGCTCCGCAGGGGTGGGGCGTCCCCCTCCCCACATAGCCCCACCGTCAGGCCAGTGGGAGGAGCAGCCCATGCCCCCCCTGAGCCCGCAGGGCTATAAAGCCGCCTCGCAGCGGTTTGCGGCTCCTTCCCAGCGCCCGGACAAGCTCTGTCAGCGGTGACTCCCCATCCTCGGCCGCCATGAGCCACCCGTCGGGCCTCCGGTCCGGCGTCAGTTCCACCTACTACCGCCGCACCTTCGGGCCACCGCCCTCGCTGTCCCCGGGGGCCCTCTCCTACTCTTCCAGCTCCCGCTTCTCGAGCAGCCGCCTGCTGGGCTCGGCGTCCCCCGGCTCCTCCGTGCGCCTAGGCAGTTTCCGCAGTCCCCGGGCGGCCGCGGGCGCCCTCCTGCGCCTGCCCTCAGAGCGCCTCGACTTCTCCATGGCCGAGGCCCTCAACCAGGAGTTCCTGGCCACGCGCAGCAACGAGAAGCAGGAGCTGCAGGAGCTCAACGACCGCTTCGCCAACTTCATCGAGAAGGTGCGCTTCCTGGAGCAGCAGAACGCGGCCTTGCGCGGGGAGCTGAGCCAGGCCCGGGGCCAGGAGCCGGCGCGCGCCGACCAGCTGTGCCAGCAGGAGCTGCGCGAGCTGCGGAGGGAGCTAGAGCTGCTGGGCCGCGAGCGAGACCGGGTGCAGGTGGAGCGCGACGGGCTGGCGGAGGACCTGGCGGCGCTCAAGCAGAGGTCAGGGGACAGGGCCGGGGCTGGGCGGCGGCCGTCGAGGCGGCCGCCAGAGGGAGTGGCCCGCCTTATCCACCTGGGCGTGTGCAGGCAGCATCCTCGCCGGCGGGCAACACCCCCAACCCCCGTCTACCACTTTGCTGAGTCTCTGGGGAGGGGAGGAAGGGGGAGTTACTATGTCTCCCCTGTGTATAAAGGGGCCACATCTCAGCTCCCAGCAGGTTAAAGGGAAATATGGGGCAAGTCCATCAGGCAGCCTGAAGGCCCCTCCTCAGAGTCCTGGGCAGTAGCAGCCTCTGACCCAGATCCTGGGGGTCGCGGTCTTACGGCTGGGCAGTGACCCCGGAGCTCAGCTTCTGCACACCCCTCCCACCAGGCTGGAGGAGGAGACTCGCAAGCGCGAGGATGCGGAGCACAGCCTCGTGCTTTTCCGTAAGGTGAGCTCGGTCTCCCCATTCCTACCCCCGGCCTGCGTATCCAGGGTGGCATCTGTGGGCAAAGGGAGGCGACCAGAAGCCTCCAGAGGCAGACAGGGAGGGCCAGGCTCTTCGTCGACCTAAGCAACCCCTCCCTGCTCTCGAACCCCTACTGCCACCCCGTGAAGGACGTGGACGACGCCACCCTGTCCCGCCTGGAGCTAGAGCGCAAGATTGAGTCTCTGATGGATGAGATTGAGTTCCTCAAGAAGCTGCACGAGGAGGTGGGTGGACCCGGGTGTCAGGAGGTTGGGGGTGGTCTCGTTGGAGCTGGAGTATAAGCTCTGGAAGAGACTGGCGAGTGGACCTGAGGAAGAGAAGTGAGATTCGTAGGGTAGACGCAGGCTCTCAACCCCCTCTACAGGTGGTTTGACTCACACCCCTGCGCCGCCTGGTGGCGAGCAGCGGAGCTGCACCCCCGTAACCTGGCCAGAGGCTTAGTACGGGCGTGGCGCGGGCCGTGCAGTACCAAGCGCGCTGCACTCCCTAGCGCCCCCTTCTGTTCATTCAAGTGTTTCTTCTCTTTTCTGTGCGCCAACCGCGCGGCCCGCGTGGGATCTGCGCGATGAACTCGGCCTCTCGCCCTGGGCGGCAGGAGCTGAGAGACCTGCAGATGAGCGTGGAGAGCCAGCAGGTGCAGCAGGTCGAGGTGGAGGCGACCGTGAAGCCCGAGCTGACGGCGGCGCTGAGGGACATCCGTGCCCAGTACGAGAGCATCGCAGCGAAGAACCTGCAGGAAGCAGAAGAGTGGTACAAGTCCAAGGTGCCAGGGCACGGGAGGGTTTGGGAGGACCTGGAAGCGTGGAGAGCTGGGGGGAGGGCGCATCTGGTCCACTCACGTCCGGGTTGCCCCCCTGGCCGCAGTACGCGGACCTGTCTGACGCCGCCAACCGGAACCACGAGGCCCTGCGCCAGGCCAAGCAGGAGATGAACGAGTCGCGACGCCAGATCCAGAGCCTGACGTGCGAGGTGGATGGGCTTCGCGGCACGGTGAGTACCAGGCTGCGCGCCCCCGCCCAGGGGGTGGAGGATGAAGGCTGCTCCCCCCATTGACGCCCCCTCTTCACCCCCAACCCCCAGAACGAGGCGCTGCTCAGACAGCTGCGGGAGCTGGAGGAGCAGTTTGCCCTGGAAGCCGGCGGGTACCAGGCGGGCACCGCACGGCTCGAGGAGGAGCTGCGGCAGCTAAAGGAGGAGATGGCGCGACACCTGCGAGAGTACCAGGAGCTCCTCAACGTCAAGATGGCCCTGGACATCGAGATCGCCACCTACCGGAAGCTACTTGAGGGCGAGGAGAGCCGGTGAGAGGCAGCGGGTCGGATAGGGTTTGGTCAGGGCTTGTGGGGGAGAGGCCAGCGGCTCACAGGAGTAGCTGACCGAGTGCTTCGCCCCCAGGATCTCCGTGCCAGTCCATTCCTTTGCATCCTTAAGTATAAAGACGACTGGTGAGTCTTTCACGTCTGACTTCCAACTGTCTGTCCCCTTGTCTATTTCTGCCCTGACTGGACTCTTACTCTGGCTCTGCTCAGGGATTGGTTCTCTCCGTGAACTTCTGAGTCCTGGTCTACACTCGCCTTCGCTCCTCAGGCTCTGCCCCTCCCCGCCCCTCCCTCACCTCCCAGACGGAGTGAGGGCTTAAAACAAGAGAAATCCCAAGCCTCCTCCCTTCCACCTCTCATCTTGCTTTTTCCAGTGCCTGAGGTGGAGCCTCCCCAGGAGAGCCACAGCCGGAAGATGGTTCTGATCAAGACCATTGAGACCCGGGATGGGGAGGTAAGATGGGTCACTTGAGCGTAGGACCCCATCATTTCTCGTAGTATTTCTGAGCCCCAGCCTGGCTGCAGGTAATCTTAGGGTGTTTGTGGGTTAGTGATTCTTGGGGTGGGAGTGAGACAGGGAGATGGAAGTGGATGGTCAGACTGGAGCCTCAACTGGTTATGCCAGGGAGGGGAGACACCGTGCCACAAAGGAGCTGGAAGGAGGGTGGTGCTGAACGGTTTGTGCGCCTCACGTGCCTCGGCCCCCAGCAGGTGGTGACAGAGTCTCACAAGGAGCAGCGCAGTGAGCTGGACAAGTCTTCTACTCACAGCTACTGAACTTGTTGGTCCAGAGCTCCCTGACCCTGCCCTGGACCTCTAAGCCCCAATCCTAACACCGGTCCCGAATTAGTCTCCTCCCCCTCTGCATGTGTCCACCAGATGGCTCCAGTCACCCCTTCCCTGGCCGTGGCCAAACCCTACCCAGCACCACAGCTGGGCCTCTCCATGCCCACAGAGACATGATCCATATGTTTCTCATTTCTTATCTTGGTAAGAGTCTATATGTTCCCCCATTTCTTGTCCTGGTAAGAATCTATATGTTCCCACATTTCTTGTCCTGGTAAGAGGCCAACCATCCCCAGGATGAGTCTACTCCTGCCACGACCCCAAGATTAGTGGGTGGGTCAGGGTCTGAGTTTCACTTTTAAATCAAATAAAACTGCTATCAAGGGAACCCTCTCCAGTGGTGATCATTTTGTAATGTATAAAAATATGGAATGACTATGTTATACACCTGAAACTAATATAATATTGTAAGTGAATTATACTTCGATTTTTAAAACATCATAAAATAGTAATGGGGGCGGGGCAGGGGGGACCCTCCCTAGTGCACTTGTGTCTGTGTCATGGGAGCGTCAATGCAAAGGAGGCTCAGCGGTATTTTCCCCCTGCCTCAGGTCATTTCTCTTCTGACTCCCACTATCTCGGCATCTATGACTCCCGTCTGCCCCTCTGGTTTTCCTCCTACCTCTCTGTCCATTCCTTCTCAACTTCTGTGCCCCATCTGCAGCCCCAGATGTCCGAAGCAGAGCCCCTTACCTCGCTTTACACCTTCTGCAGTCACGTTCTTCCTTCTGGATTCCCCGCCCTAAGATGAAGTCACCACTAGGACTTCCGTGGCCCCAATTAGAACTCACCTCATCTTATACTCCTTTCTTTTCTTCACCTACCCCCAATTCTGTTAATTCTACTTTATAACTCTTTCAAGGCTGTCTGGTTCTCCCCGTCTCCACTGCCACCACCCTAGTCCAGGCCACCATCATCTCTTTTTTTAAAAAAAAATTTATTTATTTTTGGCTGCGTTGGCTCTTCGTTGTTGCGTGCAGGCTTTCTCTAGTTGCGGCGAGCGGGGGCTACTCTTCGTTGCGGTGCGTGGGCTTCTCATTGCGGTGGCTTCTCTTGTTGTGGCACACGGGCTCAGTAGTTGTGGCTTGTGGGCTCTAGACTGCAGGCTCAGTAGTTGTGGTGCACAGGCTTAGTTGCTCCCCGGCATGTGGGATCTTCCCAGACCAGGGCTCGAACCCGTGTCCCCTGCATTGGCAGGTGGATTGTTAACCACTGCGCCACCAGGGAAGTCCCGCCACCGTCATCTCTTGCCTGGGTTACATTGTCTGCCTCAGTGGTCTTTTCCCCTGGCCTGGCCCTGCCACCCGCCTAAACCTATTCAGCACACTTAGCCAGCAGATCAATTCTGCTGCCACCACCCCACCCCTTGCTTGAAAATGTCTATTTCCATGCTGTCCTCCAACTCCATTCCATCCTACCCTTGCCTTGAAGTCAAAATTTACTTCTGAATTTAGAATGATCTTTTTCACTCAATTATAGTGCTAGGTGTAGGGAGTAAGCCAGAGTCCCTGCTCTCAAGGAGCTCACAGTCTGGGTGGGGGACATAGATAAATAAGCATACAATTCCAACCTCGCGACGAGTGATGTGATTGGGATAAGGGGATGGTGTTCTGGAAACATGAAGAAGAACACCTAACCCAGCCTTAGGGTAGAGATGGCTTCCCAAAGGAGGCACCATCACAGTGAGCACTGGAGAATGAACAGCAGTTACTCAGGTGAAGCAGGGAGAGGAAGAGGACTTTCTAGGTAGATACATCAGCCAGAAGACAAGAGGGAGCATGTCTGGAAAGTGAAAGTAGTTCTACGTTGCTGGAATGAAGGCTAGAAAGGAAGGAATTGCATTGAGGTTGGAAAGATGCAATGAGGGCCAGGTCACCGAGGGCCTTATAGGACATATGAAGGCACTTAGAATTTATTCTAAGGAAAAGGGAAAGAAAAGGGTTTAATGGGTGAAGTATTCAGAGCTGCATCTTAGAAAGGTCACTCTGGCTGTGGTGTTCAGACACAGTTGGAAGGAGAAGGAGGACCAGTTCAGAGACTGTGCAGTGAAACATGCAAGAGATGGTGGTGGGCAAAGAAGTGGATGGATTTGAGCACTATTCAGGGGGTAGAATCTGCAGTTCCTAAGTGGGGATTGTCAGTGTGAGGAAAAGGGAAATAGCAAAGGTTACCCAAGGTTTTGAGTTGAACACCCAGGCAGATGGTGGGACTTTTCACAGAAACAGGGAAGATTGGTATAGGGAGACAAGGGGGCCCAAGACAACAACGTCAGTTTTAGACTTACTGAGTGTGAGATGCCACGGAACAGCCCAGGGGAAGGGCTGGCAGGCATTCATGTCCACAGGTCTGGTGTTCAGGTGTGATGGAATATTTTGAGATGCTGAATCTATCAGGATGCTTTCTGCTACAAGTAACATACAACCTCATTTTTTTTTAAAAAAAAAAAAAAAGAAAGAAAGTAAACTACTTCATGTAACAAGGAGCCAGAGGTAGGTGGGCTCTGAAGTTGGCTGATTCAGCAGCTCAATAATATCACGGACCCAGGCTCTGTCCATGGTTCTGTTCAGCCTTCCTCCTCGGAGGGAAGTTTCATCCTCGGGATGGTTCTCCTCATTGTCTGAAGGTGGGTGCCAGTAGCTACTGCGTGATGCTTCTGTCTTCATATTCAGTGGAAGAAAGAGAAACCCCTCCTCCCAAGGATGAGATATAAGTCCTTTCCTTCAGACCGTCTGGCAAGGATCATTGGTGTGTCCGCACCTGGAGCAGTAACAGTCATCACTGACTTGGGCTAATTGTCTGGTATGGAATGGACATTGGGGATCAACCACAATGTCCATTGCAAATATTACTCAAGCTTCCCACCATTTTCACCCTCCACCCCTTGCCTTCTCTCCTTTTCATTCAATAGCATTTCTTATCTCAGAGGAGAAATGTCACTGAAGAAAAGCAGACAAAAGCTTTGGAGTTTCAACGATTTAGATTTTCAAGTGAGCAAAATTTCCAGTTTGGAAACTTTCACATCAGAGTCTGTGGCCTATGACTTGTACTGGATAGAAGGAAGAGTTTGAGCTGGGTTTCTCAGGTGTCCCACATGAGAAAAAAATGAAACCACTCAAGAACGGTGTATTAAGTGAGAAAAGAGAAATGCCTTGGGGAGACTCGTAGAGGAGCAGAGGAAGTGAATCCTGAGAATTAACTGGCAGAGAGGTAGGAGGCCTCAGGAAGCCAGGGCAAGAGAGAGCTTTCCAGAGGGAGTGGCTAGCTGCGTCAGAGGATGCTGGGAACCCAGGTTAAGTAACAGGTGGGAAACGTGAGGTTTATCAGCAAGGAAGATGTTAGACCTCAGTGAGGGCAGCTTCAGGGCAGGGTAGGGTCAGAGACAAAACACGGTCAACTGAAGAGCGAATGAGAGATGGGGAAGTGGAGAGCAGACTACTCTCATGAGATGTTTGATTGTTGAAAGAAAAGAAAGAACCAGAGCAAGAAAGATCTGTGTTGGAAAAGTGAAATTTTGAAGAAAGGAGAGACTGCACCAATCGTTTTCAAGCTGCGGGTCATGAAACATTGTAATAAAAATTATTGGGTCAAGACAAACATTTTAAAATAAAAAGAATAGAAAACTTTAGGGTATGGTGAAACTGTTATTTTCAGTGTATGTATGTGTGTTCTGGGTTTTCATGTAAAATACATTTTTTTATCTTGGATCGCAGGGGGGAAAAATTGAAAAAGACCAGACTTGAACGAGTTTAAGTGCTGGGGAGAATTGAAAGAATCAATTTGTCACGCGTGGATCCAGCCACCTATTGAAATTATACAACCTCAGACTTGGCTGTGATTGAAGAGTTTTAGGAAAACTCAAAATCCAATTCTAAAAAAGCGATCTGATGTTAACCTCAAGAAGACAGGGCTGGGATTTGATTGTGATTAAGAAAGCCTATACCGTATTGATTTTATTGTATTCTGCTTGTTGGAAGAGGGGAAGTCGTTTTCATGTCATCTGTAAGAAGGTCACCTCAAAAGTGAGGACGTGACCACATTTACTTAGCAGTTCCTAGAGCGAACCAGTTGTGGTGGGTATCCTGGACCCCAGGGAGGTGCCCACTGTTGTAGTGGAATAATTCCTTAGGGGCCACCTGCCGTGCGTGGAAAAGGGGGTTCAGTTATCTGAGTTGCAAAGAAGAGAGACTAAATGAATATCCCAAGCAAACGGGAGTTCATTGTGAAGTTACACGTAGAAATAAGGGGGACAAGAATTGCAGCTGCCTGGGGTGGAGTGGGAGTCATTTCACAGGAACCCAGAAACACCTGTGTGACACGGGCTCTGCAGCCCCGTCAGGCTTCACGGAGCATGACAGGTGACAGGAAGCTCCATCCACGGCAGGAGCACAAGGCTCCCTGACCAGTGCTCCTACTGCTTCGACTGCTCCTGTCACAATAAGCAAATGACCTCACCCTTTGCCCTGGCTCTTGCTGACTCACAGTTTCTTCTTACTCGTGGCTTCAATTGTCCTACGGTTTCCATGACCAGATAGAAATTGCGCAAGCCGAGAAGATGGTGGGTTTGTGCCCCCAAAGAACCATCTCGCCCGAGTTAGAATTCAGGCTCCTTTTATACTAAAAGGGGAGGGAATAAAGTCAAATGCTTCCTGGTTCCCATCTGCCTCATGAGGGGATGTGTTCATTTCTTCCTCCCTGCAGTCATTCACAGGTGGACCTGGTCAAGATGTTTCCTGTGAGCTAAACAAAGGTATTTTAGCTTAATGCTCATTACCTGGGGAGCAGGGTTCCCAGAGATGGGCCATTATGTATAATTTAAGCTTATAGGCAACATCCCTTTAGTGATTAACTTGTCATAGAATACAAAAGGTTCTTCCCTCTTCCAGTTAGAGTGATGGAAGAAGGGGTCACAAGCTAAGGAATGCTGGCAGCCTCTCGGAGCTGCAAAAGGCAAGCAAACAGATTCTCCTCTGAAGCCTCAGAAGGAATGGAACCAGACCAAATTTTAGAATTCAGACCCCCAGACCTGTAAGAGAATAAATTTGTATTGTTTTAAGCCACTAACTTCGTGGCGATTTGTTACAGCAGCAATAGGAAACAAGTATACAACCCGACATATTTTATAAGCACACATGCATAGGTAAGAACTTACATCAATCACATTAGAGTGGTGTCTATGGGGGAGAGCAGACAGGGAGTAAAGGGGGATTGATAGAATAAAACAAGAGAGGTGGCTTGCACCTCCCCATATTCGAGGTCCAGCAAAGACAAACAGAAGCAGGTCGCTCTGACTGCTGTATAGAAAACAGGTTGGACGCTATGACAGGCATAGCAGATATTCTGAGCATTGGCCGTTTGAAAGACTTTTATGATATAAAATCAGTCTCCTTGTACCTCGATTCTGTGAAGGTGGTGCCCTGAGGAGCAGGCATAAATATTTTGTTCACCAGAAGGCATATCGCTCATGGTAAATCACTCAGTTTCTCTTACAAATTCGATGAGTGTGACTCCAAGATCTACTCTGGGTAGCCTGACAAACTCAAGTTTCCAGGTTTGTGAACTTGGCCCTGGACTGTGCTGACTACCTTAAAATCATGTAAAGCCACTGTGCAGACAACCTCCATCCTTCAAACTTCAGCCTTATTCCTCCACGTATCCCAAATGTGTGATAAAGGGCCTTACACACAGTAGGTGCACAATGTTTGTCAGTAGCCATCCCTGCTAATCTAGGAGTCAGGGTCCAGCACATTCACAGTACCTGTGAGTGGAATGAGGGGACTGTCCCCTTCCTTCCAGTCAGACCATCTTTCTAGTTTTATTTCCTACTATCCTACGTTCCATCTATCCCTAAGGACTTACCCTCATCTGAACACTCCAAGTTTCCTTGCCTTTGCAAGTGCTGTTCCGAGTGACTAGAAGAGCCTTCTCTCTTTTACAGGAAGTTCAAATATTACTTCTTTTTGGAGGTCTTCCCTATCTCTCCAGGTATTCATTTGATCAATTATTCATTCATCCATTGACTCATTCAACAAATAGTGAACACCCTTACAGGCAGGCACAATGCAAGACATTGAATATATAATGTAAGCCAAAAATAAAAGGTCACCACCTTCATGGAGGTCTAGCAGGAGAGATCAGGTTTAATAAACACGATACATTAGGTTCACATTGGTGAATATACAATTACCAACTGAGATACATGCTCTGAGGAAACACTGTTCTTTGAGAGCACACAACTAAGGAAACTTTTTTAGATTAGGGTGGGTTTTGAGTGGAGGGGTTCAAGGAAGCCCTCTACAAGAAAGTAACAGCGAACATCCATTTGGAGGCATGAATAGGCAAAGTGGAAGGTATTGCAGACAGAGAGACTAGAAGGAACACGACAACTTTCAGGGATTGGAAATGGCAATGGAGTTGAAAAGCAGAGAACAAGGCGGAAAGTGGTACAAGATGGGGAGTATGAGTGGGGAGAGGTCAAGGCACAGTGGTAACATGACCAGATTTGCATTTTGGAAAGATTACTCTAGCTGCTATATGGTGAATGGATTATTGTGGAAAGCAAGAGGGAATGGAGGGTGGGAGGCTTTTGCAATCCTCTAGGTGAGATTAGGGTGGAGATAATGAAGAGGAAGAAGGTAAATGAAATCCAAAGGTAATGAAAAGGTGTGAAGGAGAAATTGGAAGGGGAGGGCTTGTATAATAGGAAGCACAAGTCAGGGAGAGAATCTACCAGAGTCCTGTACGCTTGAAACCATCGCCCATTTCCCATTAGAGGTTAACCCCTTCCATTCTAACCAGTGTTCTAGGTTCCCTCATTTTCACACCCCTGCCTGCCAACGGTCCTCCAGGCCTGTGGTGTTGAGTTCCAATGACACTGTTTTGAGCCTTGTTTTCTTATCTGTGAAATGGAGACCACACCTCACCATTCGTAAAGGTGGAGTGAAAAAAGTGATTGTTTCTTTTTATTTTTGTTATTGTTAGCCTCAGTTCAATTTTTTCCAGCCCTCTCCGCCCGTTTGGAGGCAGTTCCTCGGCCTAGGCACAACGTACGGTCGTTTCCTACAATGTGTCTGGAGCGGATTCCCCACAGCTTGACGCCGAACTCTGATCAGAGTCGGGTGAGCGGTTCGTGCCAGCCTCCAACACCGTCAGTTAGCCTCATTCAGGACACCAGCCCTTCCCACAATGCCGCGAGACTGCACCGTCCCGCACCAGTCCCGAGACCTCGCGAGAGTACCCAGCGCCCGTTGTCTCTCAGACTCCGAGCCCACGCCTTCGCCGGCCTCAGAAAGGTCTCCTCCTTCTTCTTCCACCCCGCGCTCCGCTCTCGGATTGGCTGGTTGAGTCGGGTCAGTTTTTTTCCTGGCCAGAAAGCGGCTCGACGACTAGTCCTTCTTTTGGCCTCGCCTCCGAAGCCTGCGGATTGGACAGCTGAATCCTGTGACACACGCCTCCGCAGTAGCGCAGACAAGCCAATCAGGAGCTTGGCGTATTTTACAAACTGGGGAAGTATCTGCAGCAGAAACCGAGAGAGTCCGGGGAAAAAGCGAAGCAAGTGAGGGCGACGCTGAGGGGTTCCGGGGGAGGTGCGGCACCGGGATCTTGGAGGGAATGAGGGCTTCGGGGGCTCGTAGGGAGGAGAAGCAGTTTGGGGTCCTGGGGCTAAAGAATAGGCTCAGAGGGTTAGGAGGAGACCCCCAGAAAAGAGGCCTTGCAGGCGCCGGGTCCTCTGGGCGCATGGATTTGGGTGGAGATGGGAGTATCAGGGATGTCAGGACCGAAGCCCCGAGCTGGCTGACCTTTGATCCCTGATCCTGCCTTCTTCTCCGTCTCAGTTGTAGTCGTCATGACTACCCTCCAAGCCACGAAGGATCCTCTCCTCCGGGGTGTATCTCCTACCCCCAGCAAGATTCCCGTTCGCTCTCAGAGACGCCCGCCTCTCCCCACAGTCAAACCCAGCGCCCTGGACCAGGAGAACCAAGATCCAAGGGTAAGAGGGGTTGTGGGGGGTGAAGACAGTAGCTACAAGGACGCAGCACACACCAGCAACGCACCCCAACGCTGAGCCCCAGCTTTTTGTTCTCCCTTCCCTCAGAGATTGGTGCAGAAGCTCAGTAGTCAGCGCCCTCTCGTTGACTCAGCAGGCCCCAGGCCGAAAGCCACACATCAAACAGAGCAATCGGAGAGATTGGTGGGGAGTACTCGGCTTCGGAACCCCTTGGAGGAGCTCAGGCCTAGCCCTGGGAGACAAAATGTGGGACCTAGGCCCCCTCCCCAGACAGGTACCTTTTGGAGGCTTGAAGACAGTTTCTTTGGCTGGGTAGGAGAATTGGCTGGTGGCAGTGGGGTTTGGGGGCTTTGCATTCCCGGGTCTCCTGCTTACTATAATTCCTAGTCCCTGCTGCTAGAAAGCTCTTTGCTCTTAGAAGCCCTTTGCTTTCTTCAGCAAAGCGTCATCTCTTCTAAAGCCTTTTCCGCCTCTCCCAGTCGTAATCAATTGCTCTGTGTTCGCATGCTTTGCTGTACTTCTTTTATAACATGTCCATACTTGGACTTGAGTCTGTTACCTCTCTATAGTTTGATGATAGCTTTCCTGAGTATGGGGGCTTTGTCTTATTTGTCTCAGGGTGTCAGTGCCTAGAATAGTGTCTTACACAGAGCAAAGTCCTATGAATGTTTGGTGAGCTGAGTTCAGTTATATGAGTCTCTTCGGCTCACTCTTACACCTCAAGTGACTCTGCTGGGCTCCCTGACCCCTCAGCCTCCCCGCTTCCTGTTCCTTCTCACCTTTCCTTTTCCTCTTCCCTTGCAGAGGCTCCAGGGACCATAGAGTTTGTGGCTGACCCTGCAGCCCTGGCCACCATCCTGTCAGGTGAGGGGGTGAAGAGCTGTCGCCTGGGGCGCCAGCCCAGTCTGGCTCAGAGAGTACTGGTTCGAGGGAACCAGGGAGGCACCATCCGGAGGCGCCAGGTAATGAGCCAGGATAGGAGGAGATCAGGCTGGAGTAGGCTGATGAGGGAATCCTGAGCCTGTACTGATAGCCTCTCTTGGGGTCCTAGGATGCCCGGGCCTCTGCATACTTGGCTCCCAGAACCCCCACCCACCGACTGGACCCTGCCAGGGCTTCCTGCTTCTCCAGGCTGGAGGGACCAGGACCTCGAGGCCGGACCTTGTGTCCCCAGAGGCTAGAGGCTCTGGTGAGTGCCCTTGAGGGGCTGATACTCAGTGCTTCTGGGAACTCCTTCCAAGGACAGAGCTGGGCCTTAGGAGGGAAGGTACCTCATGATGAGCCAGAGGGTTGGTATGGAGGCCGATGGGGTTGTTGGTGAAGCCTGAAGGTTTGAGGCCTACCTCTGACTCTGTTTTTTCTCTTGCTCCTATGGCGCAGATTCCACCTTCAGGACCTTCCTCTCACCCCTCTGCTCCTCCCGGTTTCCAGGAGCTAAGAAGAGAGACAGGTGGCAACAGCAAGTGAGGAGAGGGTCATCTGGAAAAGAATGATTCAGTGTCTGATACAGGGGTCCCTCAGAGCTGGGGCCTTCCGGTAGCTTTAGGACTTCCCAGCAGCCCAGGGCGGAAGGGGGAAATCTGTGAGTGCTCAGGGTGAGCCCTTGCAATAGGGGTCAGGCCTTCACAGCCAGGCCTCAATATGACATCAGTTTCATCAGGCTGTGGGACAAGGAGGGGACAGAACTGAGAGGTACCATCTCTTTTGTTTCGTGGCCAGAGCACAGACTGTGGCAGTAAATGGGATTTGGGTTTGATTTCTGACTCTTAGTACTTATGATTTGTGCAAGCTTGCCTTACCCTCCGAGCTCCAGTTTCTTTTCTTTTCTTTTTTTTTTTTTCTGGCTGCGCCACTGCGTGGATTGTGGGATCTTAGTTCCCCAACCAGGGATTGAACCCGGGCGCTTGGCAGTGAAAGCGCAGAGTCCTAACCACTGGACTGCCAGGGAATTCCCACTTCAGTTTCTCTAATCTGTCAAATGAGGATAATATTTGTATTATCATTTGAGGTTATCGTGAGAATTAAATGAGATGATGTTTGAAAAGCACTTAGCACAGGGCCCAGCTAGTACTTGGTACTCAGTGACTGCTAGCTGCTGTCCTTATCGCCATCAGGACTTCAGTGAGCCAGGCCTCAGGATTGCTTCTGGAGACCCTTGTCAAGCCTGGTGAGTGTGTCTGGCCATGGGGAGACAACAGGGGCAGGGGAGCTGCTTGTAGCGAGCAAAACAAGAGAAAGCTCAGCAGGCTGTGGCGGGAAGCCCAGATCAGAAGGAGACAGAGAGGAAGAGATCTTCTTGATAGGCCAGAGGTTGGCCCAGTTGCACTTGTGTCGAAGGAGGTGGTCCCCGTCTCTACCCTCTCTCTGCCGCTTCCTGTAGGGTTTACCTTCCACTCACTGTTCTGTCCTCAGCCCCTAAGAGCCATCACCGCACCCCTAGCCCACTCAGGGTATTCAGATTAATGATTTACTACTGAAATAGTGCTGGCCTGCAAAGGGATGCTGGATGGGTCCCCACCCCTGATGGTGCAGTGGGGGCTGTTAAACTGGCATACCCTGGTCGGAGGTTGCAACCTCCGACTAGGGTTGCAGGGCCCTGTGCCAGACTTTGATGTGTGTTCCAGACACTGCAGCAAATTTCCTGTCTCCTCCTAGCTTCCTCTCTCCCTGAAGGAGAATATGAAGTTGTCACTCACTCAGATGAAAGAGGAGGGGGCCCCCTCGGTCTGGCTCAGCGAGTACCATTAAAAGAAACCCGAGAGATAACACACACCAAGGTGAGCTGGGACCTTCCTCCTCTGTGCTGGGGGAAGGGCACAGAGGAGATGCAGGGGGGGATTCCCCAGTAGCAGCGGCACTGAGGATTGTGGGTAGAGCCAGGCAGTCCCAGCCTGGATCTCAGCATGTTAACTGGGTCCTGGTTTGCCCTAGATGGACCCAAGGCCCTCTCCAGAGTGGTACTGGCCTCTGTTTACCAGGTGTCCGGGGCCTGCGAGTGAGAGGTCACAGTCTGGTATACATTTGTATCACCATCAGATCAGTGCTGAGAGTAAGACAGATCTGAGAGTTCATTCTTTCACTCCACAAGGGTTTATTGAACAGCTACTGTGTGCCAAGCAATGTTCTAGGTTCTGGATATACTGTAGGAAATAAGTTCACATTCTAGAAGGGGGAGACAAAAGATAAACACACGCGTAAAATATATAGTAGGTCAGATGGTGCTAAGTTATCTGTTTAAAAAAAAGAAAGTAAGGCACTGAAAGGGAAGGAGAAGTGGAAGGGGGTGATTGGTACTGTAGTTTCAGGTAGATCGGTCAGGGGAATCTCACTGAGGTGCGGCTAAGTGAAGAGCAGAAAGAGTTGAGGGAGTGAGCCATGTAGATAATCTGGGGGAAGAACGTTCCAGGCCACAAGAACTGCAGATGCAAAGATGGCATGTACCTGGTGTGTTTAAGGATCAGCAAAAAAGCGAGGCTGAAGCAGAGTAAGAAGGAAAGGAAGTGAGAGGTTAGAGCAATGACAGAATCAGGTTGGGTAAGGATTTATAAAACAGCGTAAGATCTTGACTATTACTTGGAATGAGTGCAAAGCCATGGGGAGGGGGGATGAACAAGGGAGGGACATGACTTGATTAGATCTCAAAAGAATCACACTGGCTGCTCAAGTGAGGACAAGAAAGAGCAATGCCAAGCGGGAGGGATCACTCTTCCACCTTGTTCTCCACAGGACGGCCGTGACTCCTGCCTGATGCCCTCCCCTGGCCAAGTGATACCACCTGCCATCACCCGGCCATCACCCTTTGGACGGGCTCAGCGTGTGCCTTCCCCTGGCCCCTCAGCTCCAGTTTGTATCCACAACTCCTGGGGGCTGGGATCACTGCGAGGTCTCGGTTTTGTCCCTGCCCAACCACTCCCATCTCTCCCCAGACCTCATATTCAGTGTTGCGGCGTCTCGCCATCCGCCCCAAAACCCAGTTCACACCCCTTCCATCGGCCCCCAGAGCTCAGCAGGTGAGAGAGGGCAGGGGAGGTAGCTGGCTTAGGCCAGGGCTGGAGGAGGAAGGGGATAGATGGGTACAGGGAAAGTCATGGCATCTCACTTCTGTCCCAGGCCCGGTGGTTGAGTGGCCTCTCCCCTCAGCCTTGCCCTGAAGAGCCTGCCCTGCCCTGGGTAAGTATCTGAAACCTTCCCATGCTGAGCTTCCTCGCTCTGTCCCGTTGGCCTGAGGCCCAGCAGTTTTGAAGCAAGTGGGCTCTCTGGAAAAGCTGCCTAACTCTCCAACTCTCCCTGCTTCTCTGCTGCCCCTCCTAATCCAGGTCTAGGGCCACTCAGTTAAGGCCCTGATCCCTTCCTCACTAGTTTGAAGACTCAAACTAGTCTTCTTCCTACTCCAGCCTGGCTTCCTCATGTGGCCCCTCTCCTCCCATGTGGCAGGAGCAGATTGCAGTCCGGTTATTTGACCAGGAGAGTGGTATAAGGTTGCAGGAGGCTCCTGGGAAGCCACCCGTGTCAACTCCTTATGGACCCCACCCCAGTAGAACCCCCAACCTCCAGGAGCTGAAGCTGCAGGTGGGCTGGTGTGGGCAGCAGCTTTGATGCCCGATGGGCAGTGACGGGGCTGGGAAAGCGAGAAATGGCGGGGGTGGGGGTGGGCATGGAAATACGACAGTGTGGGTACAAGACTTGCACCCACTTCTTGACATCACACTCTGTCCCACCCACAGCGCATCAATATCCTGCAACAGCTTTTGCGACAGGAGGTAGAGGGGCTGGCGGACGGCAAGTGTGCCCCCCTTCATGGAGGCTCCTCTCTGGATGTGGTTGAACTTCAGCCCCTGCTGGCTGAGATCTCTAGAACTCTGAATGCCCCAGAGAATAAATCTGGGGCTTTTCATCTTCCTGGAATGTTACAGCACTCTGGGTTGCCCAAACCCTACCTTCCAGAGGGGTGTGGGGAACCAGAGCCCTGCCCTGGAGCAGAGCCCGAGGTAGCTCTGCCCTGCCCTCCAGCAGAACCAGGGCCCCCAGAGTCCTACCATAGGAGGGGGCCTGAGATATCAGAGCCCTCCACCCAGGAGGCATCAGAGCCCTGCCCTCTGGGAGAGCCTGGACCCCTTCAGGCCTGCCCCCAGGGGCAGACAGGACTCCCAGAGCCCTCCCCTAGGGTAGAGCCTGGGGTATCAGAGGCCTGCTCCCTGGAACCCAGAAGTCCAGAGTCCAGCCCATGGTCCTGCTGCAGTCAGTGGGCTCCAGCGACCACCAGCCTGACCTTCTCCTCCCAACGCCCACTTTGTGCCAGCCCCCCTATCCACTCACTCCAGTCTCTGAAGCCCCCAACAGGCCAGGCAGGTAAGGAGTTGGTTGGAAGGGGTTGTGAACAAAGGAGGTCCTCATCTCTCGCTGGGAGCAGGGCCTGCCCTGCACCAGGTGATCCTACGCTTTCTTTCCCCTACCTCCCTTGCCCCAGTCTGGCTCTCCCACAGGAAGAAGTGGGGGGCTGCACCTTCAGCTCTGTGCTCCTAATTGGCTTGGCCCTTGGTCGCGGAGTGGGAAAGGGCAGTATATGGTGGGAGTCTGGGACTCCAGAGTCTGCCCTGATCTCTCTGTGGCCTTTGGCCCTCAGGCCCCAGCAATCTGGCCCCTCGAACCCTGGCCCTGAGGCAGCGCCTCAAAGCATGTCTGACCGCCATCCACCGCTTCCACGAGGCCCGCCTGGACGACGAGTGTGCCTTCTACACCAGCCGAGCCCCTCCCTCAGGCCTCACCCGGGTCTGCACCAACCCTGTGGCCACATTGCTCGAACGGCAGGATGCCCTGGTGAGCCTCCGGTCCACAGCCAGCTATGCCTGTGGGAAGAGGGAAGTAGGGCAGGGGGCCATCCTCGGCTCCTTTACAGAGGTCAGGGGGAAGAGCTGGTTACAGTTCAAGGACGGCTGGGCTGTGACGAGGTCTTCTCTCTCCCTAGTGTTTTATTCCAGTCGGTTCTGCTGCCCCACAGGACTCTCCGTCATGAGGCATACGCCTCCACCCACTCCTGTCCTGCCTTGCACCTTCCTTTTAACCCTTATTTATTTTCCACACCATGTACTGGGAGCTGACACCCTTTTGTCCTTCAATAAAGTTTCTAAAATGTCCAAATGTCTGTTTTCCTCCGGTCCTACTTAGGCCAGCTACTGCTGTTTCTCCTCAATTGTCCACATGGTGGCAGTGTCCTCCAGCTTAGAGGCCAGTCCTGGGTTCTCAGTCTTCCCCAGGCTCCCTTGCCCAGAAGCTGTCCAGGTCATCCCACTCCTGCACACCCCACCCTCCCAGCAAGCACTATGAGTGAATGTTTTTTTTTTTGGGGGGGGGACACAAATGTGGGCCTTTGGGGAGCTGCTTTTCTCCTTGCTCCCTGAGATCTTGGCCGGTCCCAGGAGCCGTCAGCAACTCCTGCATCGCCTAGAGTTCCCTAGAACTCCCCCTGCATCAGCAGAAGCACCAGACCCATACCTCTGGAATCCTCCCTTGCTAGTGTCCCTCTGGTTGGCGTCTCCCTACCGTGTAAGGCCTCAAAGCTCTCCTGAAGCTGATACCCTTCCCTGTATCAGAGTAGAAACCCTGGGCTACTCCCCTCCTCGGCTTCCCCAGAGGCAGGCCTTGCCAGGAATAATGAAACCTTTGCCTCTGGCAGAGAGTGATAGGGTAGGGGTCCTTGAGAGGAGTGAGGAAAGGGTCAGCCACTCTCCCCCACTCTGTGCACCGAGTTAAGAGGCACACACATTCTCCCACTTCACTTTATTGGAAGAGGCAACAGCAGCTGTAGCCCCAGGGCCTAACCCCCGATGGGGGTGAAATGGGGACTGCAGGATGAGTTTTAAATGCTAGGAAAGAATTTCCTGGTTCCTCCAGTTCACAGGGAGGCTGCCAAGGCTAGAGCCTGAAGCCTGAAAATGGAGATGAGGGGAGGAGGGGATGGCAGAGAAGTTGTCATGACAGAGGACCAGCGCCTACCCGCCCTGATGTCTCCTCCCGCCTAGAAGGGCTCCTTCTGTTTCTGTTCTCTCCCTCCCCAAAAGCCAGGGCTTCCCTTCTGTTTTCTGCTTTCCGTGCCTCTGTGCGGCAGTTAGTGAAGCTGTTTCCTAGCTCCCGAGAGAAGAGAGGGCCACGACCTGCGCCCCCCTCCTGGCCCGGCTTTCACAGGCATGTGCGCGGATGCTGGTGGTCCCTTCCCAAGCCGCTCTGCTCCTCCGGCCGGTTTCCTCAGCTCCCCAGCCACTCAGTTATACCCCGGAGCACCAAGAGTCCGCCCATTAAAGGCCACCTCCGGGAGCAGGAGGGCCCGTCCCACCCCCAGTCTCTCAAAGGATGGGGTGGCGCCTTGGGTGGGGCAAGCTGAAGGTGGGTGAGGGGGGGAGCGGAGGGGGGGGCGGGGGATGGGGCCGACTCAGTCCGGGTAGATGATGAAGCCAGAGAAGGTGCTGTACTTGTTGGTGTTACCGCCGTGCACCTTCCCGCCGTCCAGCTTGATGAAGACTTCATCTCCCACATCCAGGTGCAGGATGACGCTGTTGCTGGCGTAGTCGTAGTTCTGGTCCGCGTCCTGAGCAATGGCGCTGGCCCGGACCTAGAGAGGGGGAACAGAACAACCCACTCATGCCCTGTGCGGAACTGGGGTGATGAGGGGTCGGCCGAGGAGATGCAGCTGGGCCTGTGAAGGTGACGCGAGGGTAGCAGGCTGCAGGGTTTGGGAAGGACAAGGTGCTTCGCAGGCACTGCCATTCACTAGCTGCTGGGACTCGGGCAAGTTTCACGCTTTCTGTGGTCCTTAATTTGAGCTATAAGGTAGGAGGTAGTAATAGAACCTACCTCCTCAGGTTGTTAGGATTAAATGAGTTACTACGTGCGAAGTGTGTTACAAAACAGCGCTTTGCACAAAGAAAATGCTATATAGGTTTTGCTATTATTATTATTTAAAAAATAAAATTAGACTGTAGGATAATTTTTAAGATTCTGAACCCACTCGGACCTTCTAAACTTGTGCTCCCTTCCCCCAGAGATAGGGCACAGGTGTGTCTGTGCGTGTGTAAGCAAGGGTGCAGGCTGTCGGAAGATGCCATGATGTAATCCTCCTCGATTGTCCCTCCTAGTGCCCGCGGGCGCCCCGACGTGGGGGTCGCCTTCCGCCCAAACAGGTAGTGCCTCTTCCCCTCTGGCCTCGCTGCTGTAGGTCGCCTCACCGACGCCTCAGCGTCGCAGCCAGCCTCCTCCCCAGCCCCCCTCTTCCTGTCCCGAGGTGGGTGGTTATTAACTGATTAATTATTCATCATTATTCTAATCACTATTTACCGTCCCCAAAGCCGCAGCGCCCGCACCGCGGAATACAGTGTGGGAGCCGCGCGGCCCCCGCCCCCTCGGGAAGCCACGCACTCTAGATACATACTCCCCCCCTCCGCCCCTCACAGACACGCCGCACAGACCACACACGCCTACTCAGTGCCACAGGCAAGCAGCCACCGCTCTACTCTCACACCTTCGCACCCCGCACCCACAGACACACTTGAATCACGCACACACACGCTACAGTCTTACACACATACACTCTCACTCCCTTTCCCTGGGCTCCTGGGGCGGCCCTGCTGGGGGGAGACCTCAATGTAGTGCCTTCGGTTCTTGGAGCGGAAGGGTGCTGCAGCGGTAGCAAGACCTGGGGTTCGGACAGGTGGGATAAGCAGGCCTGACGCGCCACGGTCAAATCACCCCACCGCGCACGGGGCGTTCGGAGGTCACAGCTCAGCCCTAACCTTACACCCTGCGGCTTGTGTGGCCCAGGCACATTTCCCCAGCCCCACCCCTGTGGCCTCTGGCTCCCCCTAAGCGTGTCCTGGACCTTGAGCTGAGTCTTTGGGACTTTTCTTCCAAGCTAAGGCAGCAGTGACTCCGACTCTGACCACAGGAGCAGGGACCAGGCCGGGGTCCAAGGCTTCTGCTTTATCTGTTCTTGCCTCTTCCCTTCTCCCAAATTCGTTCCTGCAAGCCGCCTGGCTGGCCCCAGTGCTGCCTCATTTTCCACCTCTGCCTATGGACTCAGTATTAGCTGAGGGTAAGGCCCACTCTAGAATTGACCTCAGGCCCTGGGACTAGTAATAGAGTTGCCTGGAAAATGAGACAGTGTTTTCTTTCTTTTTTTACCTTCTCCTTGAAAATCCAAGCTTAATGACCCCCATACGGGAACAGATACCAACTGCCCACGGCGTGATACCCGGACTCCATTCTAAGTCGAAGGAGCCAGACTCCAGTAACTTGCCCATCAAGTGGCTGGGTAACCCAAAGGCCAGGAGGGCTGCCCAAGACAGGTGAAAAGAGGCTAAGAGGCAGGGTGAGATACCAAAGAGGTTTGCTGTATAGTTGCCTATAGTCGGAGTGTGAGGCTCTGAGTTTTAATTCTGACACCATTCCTAATGTTCCATAAGACCCTGGGCAGGTCGTTTTCTTTCTCTGGCCCCCCAATTCCTTTTGGACTAAATGAAGCGATTTCTAAGTTCTTGGCAATGTGGCCTTCTTGGATTTAGTGACGGTGTTTGGGGAAGAGGTTCGGGTTGCGTAATGAATGCAGGGAGAATTAGAAAGCTACCTTGTCTGGGGCTGGGTGGGAGAGGGGCAGCTCACCTGTCCATTCTTCATCAAGTCCGCCCACATGCTGGTGCCGTCACCGCCGCGCATAAGCACATGGTAAGCGAAGAAGTAGACACCTGGCATGGGGCAGGTGAACTTGCCACTGGCTGCCTCGTAAGCGTTGCCCACGTTGGTCACCACGTCGTCGAAGCGCAGCACTTCGTAACCTTCGTGTGGCCGCCGCAGGCCAGCATAGAAGGCAATTCGAGGCACGTAGCCGGCAGGGGGCGCTACCCCGCCGGGGCCTGGGCCTGGAGGGCCCGGGGGACCTGGTCTGCCCGGCTCTCCTGGAGGTCCTCTGGGACCTGGTGGTCCCGGGGGCCCTCGCAGACCTGCCTTCCCGCGCCGGCCCACCTCTCCCTTGGCGCCCTGAGGGAAGGGGGGTACGGAGGCGGGCGCGCCGTCGGGTCCTGGGCCTCGCGGCCCGTGGGGGTCGCACACCATGCGGCAGCGACCCAGCATCTCGTAGTGCGCCGGCCCGCGGGAGCTGTGCACTAGCAGCGGAATGGCCACCAGCAGCAGCAGCACCATGGCCACCCCGACGGCCGCGCCCGCCACCCTCTTGCGGCGGCTCAGCCGCGACGCGGCCAGGGCCAGCAGATCCTCCTCACTCTTGGGTGCAATGGTGGCGGAGGCCCGGGGCTTTCCGCGGGCGCCAGAGGCGGTGACCGGGCTCGGGCCTGGGTCGGGATCCCCCCGACGGCTGCGCCCGGCCCCCCTGCCCCTGTGGGCTCCCGCCTCAGTGGTACCGTTCCCCAAACCTTCCGTCAAGGCGGAGGTCCCCCCGTTGTTTGGACCAGGGACAGCTCCCGACAGTTCAGAGTCCGTGGTCCTCTATTACCCTCTCGTTCAGTCTAACGTTCCCAGGCGCCTGAAATCGGTGGCTTCTCGGACGGCTGGTTTCTTACAGATCTAGGATGCCTGCCCTCCGGACAGCTGCTTTCTCGAGGATGGCGGCGCCTAGGTCCCAGGCTACCCAGACGGATAGCTCCCGGCCGGAGCTGGGACTACTCTCCGCGCTCTGGACGTCCGGGGCTCTGCGCTGCGGGTGGCGCCCACCGGACGCGACCTCCTCGCAGGTTTGCGCTCTGGCTCTTGGCGAGCCTTGACCCACCTTTCTACCCTAGCCGCGGCCCCAACCCCTGCTGAAGCCCTGGCCCCGCGTCTCTCTCCAGCTAGCGCTCTCCCTCTCTGCGTCCCTAACCTTCCTTCCCTCCCTCCCGGAGCGGCAGTGCGGGTGGTGTGAGCCGCGACGCGGCGGGAGCCGCTCTAAGAGGCCGCGGCGGGGGGGGCGGGGGCGGAGCGACCCCTGGCGCCCAGAGAGGGAAGCGTGGAGGCGGGGCAGGCCACGGCCCCCACCCGCGTCCCCCCAGCCTCTCGGTTCCTGACCGGCTCTAAACCAATTCTGCAGGGATTCACTGCCCTCACCCTATCCTTACTTTCACCCTCTACCCTGAGTTTGGTATTCTCAGAGCCCGGAGGAGGCCAGAAACGGGGATGGGATAAAAAGCGGTGGAGATGCACACACACAGAAGACAGACGTGGATTCCAGAGCTAAAAAGAGCCCTCCCCGGCTCCCCCCCTCAAAAAAAGAAAAAAGAAAAAAAGAAAAAAGCCCACGAGCAAACAACAAGGACTAGAAAAAAATAGAAATTCGCCACTCAGTGCCCGTGACCGAATAACATATGGTAAAGGGTTCAACGGGTACGGGTTGGCCTGAACTGGAAAAGGCAAATCTCCAGGCACGTCTACCCTCGACCCCCAGTGTTGGCGGAGGGGGCCGCAGAGCAATCGAGAGAGTGAGGGAACAGAGAGAGTGAGAAAGCAGACCAGCCTGGGAAAGCGCGCAGGAAACCGACAGGAAAGCAGAGGAGCTACAGAGAAATCAAAGGGATGCAAAGCCAGATAGAGACGCAGAGACAGAGACAAAGCTTGAAAAAGAGACTAAATGACAGCCCCAGAGCGGGAGAAGGAGAGACAGAGACGGAGAGAGAGAGACAGGAGCCAAGACAGGTTGACAGATCGAGAGAGAAATGTAAATGGCGCGCTGCAGAGAGACACCCAGGTCCGTGTTCGGACTCCAATGTGACATATCAACTGTGGGGACGACGCGGAGGCGGGGCGCTTCTTGGAGCAGTGTGGTAGGCTCTGGGCCTGTGCATTGTGACAGTGTGCTGGCAAGTGTGGACGTGTCCATGGGACCCTGGCCTTGTGTGTCCCTGGGTGAGTGGGATTGTGGATTGTGGATTGCCTTTGTGTGTGTATGTGTGAGGGCTGTTTGAAGGGAGGTTTTATATTTGTCTTCCTCTTAGTCCCTAAATGTGGAACCCCATGAATGTCATCTTTCTTATCTCAGGACTGAAGAGTAGAGAGTTTACTGGGGAGAAAGAGTCAGAAGGCAGCTCTTGCCCTTGCAGCCCAGCCCAGTCCCACCCCTGCCCAGGTCCCAGACCTTGTCCAGCCCCAGGATCTCTGCCCCTTCACCCTTCCACAAAGGGCTGTGGTTAGATGGAAACTCAGAGAAGTTGGACCCCACATAATAAATGTTTGGGGGAGGGATTTGAAATTTGAAATTGGTTATGCAAAGTAATATAACTAAAATGCAGTTTCAGTGCTAGGCACCCACCTGTGAGGGGTGGCTGTGTCTGTCATTCGGGTGACCAAGAGGAAACACAAGCTTTGATAGGTCCCTCTCTGTGAGGGGTCTGCATCCTTCCTCAGGGTCTCGCCCCTCTGGGAGAAATTTCTTGCTCACAGGGACTCCAGGGCCAGAGGCCTGGAGAAGAGGTTCCAGGACTGGCAAAAGTGGGGTATTCGGAGGCCCTGGAGGTGGACAACTGCAAAGGATCTGTTAGAGACTAGGGTAAGCCAGTACTGTAATGTATAAGAGTACATTATGTAAAATGGAGAGCACAGGGCACATCAGGGCATAATTATTGGGTGGAAGATGATTTCCTCATCTCTTGTTTCCTGTACTCCTTCCCTGCCCCTCCCAGCCCGTAACGGTGCAGGAAGAAGGAGGTTGCTGAGGACGGGCCTGTGTGGAGGGAGGCCCCTACATGCTTGAAAGGGTTGGGAGAGAAAGGATTGGCAGTCAGTGGGGGTGGGGCCTCCTCCAACCATAAATACAAATTTTATTCAAGGTCTTTGTTGCCATTTGTCTTCCTCGGGGGGCTGAGGGCCATGTCGGCCCGTGCATGTCTAATTCCGAATCTGCTCCCCTAGGCTGGATGATGGATGGATCAGAGAGGAGAGCAGGCCAGGGCTCACACTGACCTCACCACCCGATCCTCAAGCCTCATCGGCCCCAGGTCCTGCCACCCCTCTCCCTCCTCCTCCCCCCTCTCCTGCCACCCACTCACTAAAGGCCCTCTCTGCTCAGCCCCGCTCCCCACCCCTCTCTCCTACTAACCAAGGCCCTCTTTTTGAGCCCCTCACCTCAGCCCCTGTCAGGTCCTAGCCCTCTTCTCTCGGAGCTTCCCTTCTCCTCCCATCCCCAGCCCAGGCTGTGAGCTTCGGTGACCAGCAGGGCTGCAGGCGGTAGCGGGTGTGTATGGTGGGGGAAGCAGGCTTAGCTCACAGGGAGCTGAGGGGCCAGCTCCATGAATTTATTCATGTTCTGTTGCTCTTTCCCCACGCTCTGGAATGAAGCTGCCAGCTCACCAGGTCCTTACTGCTTCCTCTGCAGCTGTCAACATTCGGCCGAGAAGGGACCTGGGTAGGGTCAAGGCCAGCTAGGGTCAGCTAGGCCAGCTCCTGGGGCCAGAAGCCAAGTGTCTGGGCTCAAGAGGAAATACTGGGGCCCAGGCTGGGGTCTGGGACAATTTACCCAGAGCTCCTTGGGCAGCCAGACTGGGAGGCCCCAGGGAGGTTGTGTGGTTGGGAATGGGATGTAGGCAGAGACGTGTGCTGCAGGACATAGAATGGGCAGTGGAGGAGGGGAGAGGAGAGGAAGACTGAGTTCCCCAGGCTCCCCTATTTAAAAGCACAGCCCAGACTGAATCCTGCCTTACCCTTTGCCCTTGACTCTGCACTAACCCTGACCCTAATCCCAAAGTATACACTTGACTCCTCTCCAATCCTAAAATGAATCCTAACTCCATAACCTGACTCCAAATAGAACCCATCCCGACCTGTCCTGTCCTGGAACCTAGGGGTCTCCCAAGAATTTCCCCCAGGGCTTAGGGCCAGGTGTGTGTCAGAGTTCTGAGGACCAGACTTTAGATTAGCATGTGATTAGCATATGATTTGCATGTGATATGTGCCTTCTACTCTGAGGAAGTTTTCTTGTTAAAATTTTATGAAGTCTAGCGGAAAGGTCCTGGCTCCTTGAAGTTTTTCTCTTTTTGTTCCTTCTCCCACACTCCTTGTCACTGACCCAGACCCCTTCAAGGGAAGAAAGGGGGTGAGGAAATGAGCAGTAGAAAATTCATGGGAGGAAAGATCCTGGTAGTGTGATCTACCCCTGTCACTTGCAGTATAACCTCCACAAGCCTCAGTTTCCTCATCCATAAGAGCAGAGGAACCAGCTGGCTGATGTTACATTAAGATCTAAGGAAATGCACTCCACCGCCCGCCGCACCCCGCCCTCTCTCCTTCCTCACCCTTCAGGGCCGTCCATAGTGTGGTTCTTCTCCACTTCCCTCCACCCCACCCATACACACACTCTGGCTCTCAGCTCCTACATGTAAGATCACACAGAACTGTAAGCAACCTGGGTTGCCTGGTACCAGACCCCTGGTATGAAGAGAAAGGAAAAATACCCACCTGAGAGGAAAGGGAATAACATGGATAGGGAAATAACATTATTGCGTGCTTACAGCATTTTAGGGCTTTTACTTGAGAGTTACTGCATCCTCGATGCCTCCCTGAGAGGATGTATTGTCTCCATTTTACAGATGAGGAAACTGAGGCCTGGAAATGAGAAATGCCTTGTCCTGTATCACTTTGTAAGTGGCAGCCCTAGAACTGGAGTTCCGATCTCCTGGTTTCCTTCTCACTGCCCTGGAGAAGAGAAATGACACCCAAGGCAGTGGAAGGGTGAGAGAAGCAGGACTGGAGTGGGGAGAGAGATTTGAATTGGTCTCAGGGGAGACCTATGTGTGTGAGGCCAACGGGGCAGGGCCTTGGCTCAGGGTGTCCCCCATCCCCCACCCCCAGCGCTGACACACAACAGGTGCTCGGCTGTTAGCTAAAGGATGTCGGCCGAAGTCAGCTGCGGAGAAGAGCTGTTCAGTCCGAAGAGGAGAGGGAAGAGAAAGGGGAGGGAGAGGGAAACGAAGCGAACTGCAGAAAAACGTGCTCAAGAGGCCAAAGGTAGGAAAGCTGGCCAGAGGGCTGAGGACAGCTCTCCACTCGCCACCGGTGGGAAAACAGTAGCGGCCCAAGAGCCCGCGCACACTTTGCCCTCTGGCGCAGAGGGTCGACAGGCCCCAGCGAGCGGCGAGGGAGCAAGTATGCCGCCGGGCCCAGGGCTTCTACTCATCCGCCGCACGGATCCCCTGGCACGGCAGCTCAGTGCAGCCTGAGGTTCTAAGGGCCGCCGCCAGAGCCCACGGGGC